TATCAGAATACAGACACAGCCATTTCTTGACATATTGTCTATGGCTGCTTTCTTGCCACAATGGCAGAGCTGAATAGCTGTGGCAGAAACCTTATGGCCGGCAAAGCTGAAAATATTTACTATCTGGCCCTTTATAGAAAGAGAGAGAAAAAAAAAAAAAAAACTGCTGACTCCTGGCCTAAAGGATAAAGTCCAAACCCCATTTGAAATGTAAGGTGCTTTCAGAGCACCCTATACAGCAGGCTTTGAATGCATGAAATGAATCAAGTATCTTCCTCCAAGTTATCCCCAACTCTACCCCCTCCCAGGGACTGATGCTGTACGAAGCAGCATTGTCAGGTCCCTTCCTAGGGCTACAACAGGGATGCCGTCTTATTCCTCTCTGTAATCTCCACAGTGCTGATCACAGCGCCCAGGTCATAACAGGGTCTCAGTAAAGTTTAACCCAATTAAATCTGAGTCATAAACAGAGCAAGCATAATATACTGAGGGACCCAGTTCGTTCATCACAGAGACCTGTCGATGCTGTTTCTTTGACAATATGTCATTGACAGGAGGAGCCAGCTGGAAGTGAATTAACTAATTTGCTCTTAATTAATTAGTTGCACAAACATTTACTCCATGCTAACTGTGAGACGATTTCTATGCCACCGAAGCTGAGGCAAATGAGTAATGTGGGATTATATGCTTTCCTTTGACAAGAATTTACTTAACACTTGCTGTGTGTCAAGCTGGGGTAAGGACCAGGGGCTCGAGGGGACTGGGACCACTTTCAGCTCTCAAGGAGCTTGCAGTCTAGTTGAGAAGGCGAAATGTCATCAGATAAACACTGCACAAGCAGGCAAAGGTAATACAAACGTGGTACACAAATGTGGAGGCAGCAGGGAAACGGGCAGGATTTCTAGGAATGCCGACCTCGTGGGTTCCTGCCTGTATATTTACCTACAGTTTACTCTCGCAAGGGAAACTGGACGTGCCCAGGCAACTTGCACAGGAGCGCGATCTCCAGCCAGGTTCTATCTGCAGCGCTAACATTGCCTGTGCTGATCACTTTATATAGGTTATCTCATGTAATCCTCACAACGCTCTGTGTGGTTTCATGAAGGCCAAGTCACTTGTGCCGGGTCAAGAGTGAGGAAGCGGAAGATTCTAGACGATGTCGGTCATAAGCTAAACTAGCCTATGCACTCAAGCCTTCACTGTATAGAGAAGAGAAATGGAACTCTGCTCCAGAGAAAGTCTACAGGTTAAGACCTACAGAGACACTACTAAATGTTGCTGTACTTACGAAGGGGACACCAATCTCACGAGGAATGTCTGATGTGGATTAAAGGCATGGCTGGACCACACATGGCTGGTTTTGTGTTCAGTAAATTAATAATCAAGGGAATGAAGAGCTGCAATGACTCCCAGCCGATGCGGTGAAAGGGCGGTTGTAATAACCACCTCTAGGCAGCAATTCTGGGCTCTGGCCAGGGTATTCATTAAGCCCTAACCACCAAGGCCCGGGGAACTCCCTGTCACTTCATGGCCAGCTGGGAGCCACAGTGAGTCCTTTCCCTCTAGCCAGGTATCCTCCTCAGGACATGTCTGTGCAAAGGTCACGGTGGGCACTGGGGGCAGAAGGACTGAAATATAAATTCGCAGTTTTTAAAAGTGGAAATGTTTATACTTGTTAAGCTTCCTAGGTCATGTCCAGGACATAAGACTCTCCACATTAGCCTAATTGTCCAAATTGCTACTTTCAACTTTTCCTGTTCTTTAACTGTACCAAATGCAGTGTGAAACCAGTTAAACACATGGAAAGTGCCCAACCTTGAATAAATTCCATGATGAGACCAATGAAATACAAATTTCTCTCCCATTTCATTGGCAATGATGAAAAAATAAACAGAAACTGACCAAACAGTGGCAAAGAGGCTCTGGTAAAAAAAGCCTTCTCATGCACTGATGGTGGTTGCTCATTGGTAGAATTTTCTGGAAGGAAAAGAGGTAACAGCCACAAAAAGTAAAATGCACAGGTACTTGAATCCACTAGTTTTTCTTCCAGGAGTTTATGCCGAGAAAATAATTAGACAAGTGCTCCAAGGTTCATAATAGACAAAAAAAAAAAAAAAAAGTTATTTACTGGATTATTAATAATATCAAATATTTAGAAACAACCTAAATATCCACAAAAGGATATTACTTGAATAGATCATGGTATAACTAGACAACAGAGTGCTGTTAGCCTACTTAAAACGATGGTGTGAAATCTATATTTCATGATAACCTTCTTTGCACTGTTCAGTAAAAAAAGGCTTCCTGTAAACTTGCACATGCATGCAGTGTACGTGCTAGATGTGTCATGCTGCACAGCAAGGTGTGTAGAATAAACTTCACCAAAGCGTTGGCGCATCATGGCTCCTTCTGGATGGTGAAATATCAGGTCATCTGCTTTCTTCCCTTTTGGTTTATCTACACTAGTTGAATTTTTACAATGAACATATAATATCTTTAAAAACAGAAAACGGTTTCTAAAGATCAAAAAAAAAAAAAATCTTGAAGGCTCTATACGTTTCCCGGAGGAAAAGCGGGGCTAAAACCAGAAGAATGGCTGAGTTTCATAAGGAACATGTGGCGGGACTTTGAAATCTGCCTGACAGCCCTGCACAAGGTGATCAGTCCTTCCCCAAGTTCTAGACAAGGAAGGAAATTCCAGTGGTCAGGAGCCTGTACTCCAAGGTCAGCCCTTGGGTTCACTGGGTAAGTGACTTGGGGCAAATTACTTAACCTCTGTGCCTAAGTTGTCTCGTTTACAAAACGCGTGACTGACAGCCCCTGCCTCTAAGACTGCCATGAAGATGAAGGTACAAGAGTAAGCGAACACCTGTCAGGATGCCTGGCACATGATCAGTGTTCACTAAACATTAGCTCTGATGAAAACCAGCTTCAGACAAGCAGAGCCTTCGTCAGTTAACTTTCCAAGAATGAAGCACTAACGAGCAGTTGAAGAGAGGGAGAACGTAGAGGACAACTAGGCAAAGAAGTCCACGAAAGCAGACGTAAAACTATCTAGGCCCTGCAACACAAGGGTTAAAGGTATGGGCAGTGTGGTTTTAGGCGTTTGACTTAACCTCACAAGGCTTAATTCTTCATTCTGCAAAATGGGGGTTATATACAGGAGGGCACTTTAAGGATTAAATGTCAAGTGTTAACACAGGGCTTGGTAATAGTAAGTTTTGAATACATATTTGCTACTATTACTAAAAGTACTTACTATGGACTATGAGATTAGGTCGTGGGCTCCCTGTCACTACAGGTATCCAGGTGGGCTTACTTATTCCGTGAAAAGGATGGTGCAGAGAGGACTTAGTCTTGGAAGGAGGGGATAGGCGACTGGATTCTTCTCGATTTAAAACATTCTGCAGTCACCGAAACGTGAAACTGATTTTTAAAGGGGAGTTATTTGGGATCGTTGTGCAGGGTGACCAGGAACCGGTCATCAACAGGGCAGTTCCCCAGAGTTACAGGATGATGCAGCCTTCAGAGGCCAGCCCTGCTTTTCAAACACAGGAGGCGAGTGTTCCCCTAGACTCTGCCCATTCTCTGTATCAAGTTTTGTTCTAAGGATTAAATGCAATATTGGAAAACCAACGGAGTGTAGAGGTCAGAGCACAGGTTTGGAGCCAGACTGCTTAAGTCCAGACCCTGGCCCCTTCACGAGCTGTGCGTCCTTGGCCCTCTGTTTCTTCAGCTGTAAAATGGGGATAATACTAGTATCTCCTGCTACAGGGTAGGGAGTGAATGAGTTGCAGCTTGGAAAGTGCTGAGAACAGCAGCCGGTGCATTAGTGAGTTCTCCGTAAATGAGAGTTGTTATGGTTAATGCATGTGAAGCCCACAGTGTGGTAGAAATAAGTGTTCAATAAATGGTAACTGTTATTACTACATGGTACACCTTCTATGGAGGATTTTATGCACATTTATCTCCTGGAGAGCAATTTAAAAAATGAAGACATTAGGGGAGAATCTTGTCCTTGAGTAAATGTTTCAGTCCTAGTATAGAGAATCCATCATCCTGTTGCCCGGGCACTGTGACCTAGAACCCCCGTTCCCCAGGCTCTCCTTTGCTTCCAAAGGACCTGCCCTTCATTCACTGTACGCTCTTTCATCAAATGCTCATCAAGCACTCGCGGTGAACCAAAAGGAGGGCTGGAAACACCCAAGCGGTAAAAATGTGTTTTCAGTTCCTGCCATTCTAGAGCTTACAGGTTGTTGGGGGGGGGGGAGATTCACACTAAAGAAATACACATGCAAATGATGATTTAGGGACAGCTGCCATCTGCGCTATGAAGGATGTGATGAGAAGGTATAATGGAGGGTCTTTATGTGATCTGGCACCAGAAGTGGACATGACAGAGGAGTCACTGAAAAGATTTTGGGGAAAACTGACACTTAACCAGGGGCTTCACTGGATGAAAGGGAGTTGGCTGGGTGATACCTGGGAGGGGAAGGGAGACATAATCCAGGAGGAGAGGCATTTGCTCCGAGGCCCTGCAGCCACAAGGCGGCTGACTCCCTAAGGGAACTGACAGAAGGGCAGTGAGTTGACTTACCCCTACCATCCACTCAGAAGCGCTTAGCTGGGAGGTTGGAATTTGGAGAGAAACCCAGGTCCCCAGGACCTACGTTCTCAGTTGAAACTGTTGTCTCTTCCCTTTAGGCTCTCCTCTCCTGCAGCAAAGACGGCCAGGTCCCAGGCCCTGACCCCTTCAGGCCAAGCAAACACAGTTTTTGGCTCAAATACTCTGAGGCTAGAGATGTGGCTCACTTTTCCCACACGTGAACTTCAGCCAAGATGCCACGACAGGAACTCTGCCCTCTGAGTGCCCTTGGATGCCTCAGTCCTGCCTTGGTCACATGCCACCAGGTTTTGTGAGGCTTTTTTAAGGAGGATCAAGTTCCCTTACTGAAGAAAAGGGAAATAGCATGAAAGAAAACAATGGCCCCACAGGAGGAATTTGTGATTGACATAAATGGGGATGTTCCCTTAGGCGCGCCCTGTATCATCAAAGAAGCCAAGCCCCAGGTCGCTCATTTCTCCGCCTGTTTACATGCGATGGAAAGAAGATGTGTTTAAGTTTCCCATAGTCTTACACTGGAAATTGATGCTCCCGGAAAGGAAGCCGTATGTTCCAGACGTAGCAGGTTTCTTTCGGAATTCACACGTTGGGAGTCTGGCGCTCTCCCCTAAATGGTACTTTCGTTGTCTTTTTGTTCAAGACAGCAAGCTTCTTCCAGAATCAGAACCACCTGCCAGCCTCCCTTGATAAACAGCCCACCAGCTCTCGTGGTAGATCAGATGTTTAATAATTAGCATAACTCACTGTTTATCTAACTGGCAACTATCGCTGCACTGGAATAATATTTTAACTGCAGGGGAAGCCTGACGGATCGCCCCCAAGCAAAACCCATTGGCTGGGAATGGCCAACGGAGCTGCCCATTCTCAGAGGAGAGGGCCGCTCCATCCTGGCTGGCAGATCTCTGTGTCTGAGATGCCATCGTCAGATGCTGCCCCAAAGACCTAAGGAAATGCGCCCAGGAGACGTGTGTGTTCCCAGTCCTTTCAACTGAGGCTCAATGGCCCAGCAAAGCACGAAAGTGAGGCCTGTGCTTCTGAAGCGTAACAGCTTAGAGTCGGTGGAGCTCGTGGCGCAACCTCACCACCGCAGGAGCAAGTCTCAGCAGGTGCGATTTAAGGAGGATGGCCCCAGTAAGACCCCACCTGGCCTCGCTGAGGCTGACGTCCAGGCCTCCGAGGACCCCGCCGTAATGGGCAAGACTCAGGCCGCCGGGCACCATCACCTCCCCACCTACTCGCTCTCTTTCCCGAGGTCCCAGAAGGCAGGGGGCTCTCGGAACATTGCCATCCAAACCTCCCCCAGTCTCAGGAAGCATTTCCCAGTTTTCAAGAGGAAGAGGCTCACAGCCAGCAAGTCCCTGGTGGAAATGCCGACAGCTCCCCAAAGTGCCATCCAGGTCAACGGCAACCTCTCTGAACAGGACATTGTGTCCTCTGATCTTGCCTGCTTAAGGCTGGCTCCGCATCTTGAGGATGGGCCTCGGAGGGTCAAGGTGTCCCACTCGTTTCTCCCCAGAATGTCCAAGGTGCAAAGCAATGGGCCTGTGAACATATGCTTGGAAGCAGGGACCTGGAGGGCCTCGGAGAAAGCGACAGCCGCCATTCAGGTCCCAGATGATATTTATCACAGTCCCACCTGGGCAGGCAGAGAGTCCACTTTCAGCCCAGACAGGTCTGCTGAGGTTAGCAACTCCATACCCGCTCTGGATGACACGTGTCCAGGTGATGGGAGAAGAGTGTGGCCATCAGATTCAGAAAGATCCCCTTCCTGCTTATATGCCACCAGCGGTGCCAACCACATGCCCGGCACAGGGAAACTTAAACCCGAATTGCTTTTGCCCAAAGACAACCCCGATGACAAAGACCCTGGCCCGTTGTCGTCTCGGTCCCATCCACGGACTCAGAGCTCCCCTCCGCCAGGCTCCCACAGCCAGCCAGCCCAGCCAGGGGGAGCTTCAGACTGTTCTCCATCCAGTAACAATCACCTGGATCTGCAGCCACTCAAAACTACCAGTGAGTCAAAGTCTGCCCCTGTGTGTCAGGAGCAGATGGCGAAGAACCCCATCCAGTCCGACGACCAGGAGTTTCAAAACTGTTCAGGAAGTGGTCACCTCCCGTCCTCTCTTCCAAGGAGGGAGACCAAACATCAGAGCAACAGGGAGACTGGTGGGACTGATCAGATTCACCTGGCACAGGGTGAGCTCTGCGACCTCCAGGGCAGGCTGCAATCCGTGGAGGAATCTCTGCACTCGAACCAAGAGAAAATTAAAGTCCTTCTGAATGTAATTCAAGACTTGGAGAAAGCTAGAGCTCTCACAGAAGGGTAAGGAGAATTATTATTTTCTTTTATATTAAAAACTACGAGTTAAGTCCTTTGTCAGGATAGAGGCAGAGGGAGCTTAGGTTTCTGTTAGTAAAATGTCTCCAAAATGTGTGAGGTGATGTTTCCCAAAATCGCCAGCAATGGCCTCTCTTTGTTCTGACTGGGTTTCATTTCATTCTAGGCTTTGGTAGATTTCCATGGTGATTTGTTTTTGTTTCCAGGAATCAACAGACTGGAGAAAGGGGGCAATGAAGCAGCAGGGTCGAAAATGACTTTTATTAAGATGTGTGTCCAGTTGATAAATGATGGGGATAAGTGACAGCATGCAGGTGCTCCCCGCCCCGCCCCATCCTGGTAGCAAGTTACTGCATTTGCACTGGATTTCAGTTCCTTGTCACGGAGGATTTGAGGTGGCCGATAAGCCACCTGTTGCCCTTTCCCGCCACTGACCACTTTGAAGGCTTGAGCCCGTCCATCGCGGACCAGCTAAGGAGGAACTGAAATGAGATCACAATTCTGCAAAGAGAAGGAAAGTCACAAAATGCTTTCCTGGGTGACTCAGCACCAGTCTGGGGAGGGGAAGGCAGTGACTTGTTTAGGTGTGGAATGCTCTTCCCTTGAAACAGTGCTCTCTAAAGGCTGAGAAGGAGGAATGGCCAAAGCTAATCAACAAAAGGGTGAGGGAGGGAAGACGTAATTAACTGGCATTTTCTGATGTGAATCAGAATCAACATTGCCTTACAAGAGAGAAGCACTGCGATGATACAGAGAGACATGCCCTCAACTAAAGGATCAGGAGTTTTCATCATCCTCCTCTACTCATTTGCAAAGTCCTTCAATTTCCCCATCTATCATGTGAGGGTAAGATTAACTGACTCATCCTACAGGCTTGTTGTGGGTATGAAGAAAACCTCAGATGTCAAAGTGCTTAAACATTTATAAAGCCCTCCAGAAATATGAGGTCCTATTAATATGGGTTTCTTGTTTCTTTATTTGTTTTGGCCATGCAGCTTCAGACTTTGGTACCCACGAGAGGGGCAGCGCTGTGCTGCAGGGAATGAGCCGGTAGAATGCATGCACCCCATGGGACTTGTGCCCATAGATTTATCGAGCAAATGCTCTGTTTTGCAGGCGCAACTTTTATCGAACTGGCCAAGATCTCAACAATTGCAGCACCTGCCAGAACACAGCGTGCATCATCTACAGGTACCTGGCCTCAACCGCGACCTGCTCTGTACAGCACAGGAGCCTTGGGGGAGGGGGTGTGTGTGCACAGAACACTCTTGTAAACTCCCTTAGACGCAGGAATTCAAGAGAGGAGCAAAGACAGGAGGCTTCTGAGTACCTGAGACTTGAAAGACAAGGTGTTTAACTATGAAACGTTAACATCTGGTTCCAAGGCAGGCATTGCTTTGTTTCCTCACAATCAGGTCCATGAGGAAATCCTTTTGAGATAAGCACCCCTCCCCTTACTGAACACTAACTACAGGCACTGTGCTAAACTCTGCATGCCCATTTGCACCTCATTTCACAGTCTGCCTCGTGAGGTAGGTGTTAATGTCCTCAGGGGAGTTCAGCCACTTGGCCCCACTCACATACAGCATTTTCAGAGAGCAGAAGGGGCCTTCAAGTCAAATTTTCAGAGACTCGGGACTCAACTCCAGATCTTTCTGACCCCAAACCCTGTGATCTGATTAGTGTATCACACCGCCTCTTCCTCCACAGTAGCAATCACACGCCAAGCAGTGAGAACATGTCAAGAACTGTGCTGAACACCGTATATCCATTTCTAAGTACATTATTTCTTTCCAGCAGGGGATAAGGTTGCTGCAACAGGGTGGATTTTTATAAGCAATAAAAGAGGAAGATCATACAGTGATAAGAGCACAAAATTTGGAGTCAACACCCCCAAGTCTACACCTGCTAACTTGTTCAGGGCTCAGTTTCCTCATCTGTAGAGTGGGAGCAATTATCCCCCATTCAGAGCTGCCATGAGGAGCAAATGAGAAAATACATGTGAGTGCCTTTTGTAACAGCAAAATTCTGTACAAACCCGAGAGCTGATTCCCGTCATCACTGGAAAGATCGATGCCCTCTGCGCTGGAAGTCCACTTCCAGTGGCACAGTGCAAAAATGGTCAAAAGCTGTCATTTCAGTTGATAGCATCTAATTTTGTTTAACAAAAGTGTATGGTTTGATTTTTCTCTATTACTTCTCTCTCTCTGATGAGAAAGGCATCCAGGGCCTGAGCAAACTGGGTCACCTGTGTCTTCTTTTTGACATGTCTCATTCTCTGCAGCAGAATCCTGCGCCTTCATCCTAACAAGGGCAGGGGGGCGTGGAGGGGGTGGCTTGGAAGTCAGGAGGCCCCGACCCCCAGGCGAGGCCTTGGGCATTTCTCACTGAACTGTCAACTCTTTACACCTAGGGAGCCACAGGACCACACAGTGTTGTCACCAAATAACAGAAGTTTCAGGACCTCTCACAGAAAATGCCCTTTACACGGGAATGAAATAGCTCCTCTTAAAAGGGGGCCCTGGAAAAAGGCTTGTGCATTGGAAAGAATAATTAGGAAGTCTCATCAAATGTGTACCTTTTTTGCTCCTTTTTTGTTTTAGTATCCCCTATCTTAAGCAAATTTCCCAATCACCAGGAAGACAAAAACCATTACATGTCTAGACTGTTAGGGAGGACAAAAAAACTTTTCCTCATAAGCAAAAAGAATTATTTTTAACTAACTTCCATTTAAACTTGGGACAGTCTCTTTTTTTCAGCAGCCAGATGATGTTACTTCCTGTTACCTTAAGATGACTTTTTATTTAGGTTCCACAAATGAAAAGGGCAAATGGTTATTTCTCAATCTACTGTTGAGTTTCATGCCCTGGCCTTGGGCAATTCATTTCTGGCCTCTGAGTTTCCTCATCTGAAAAATGAGGGCCTTTAATCAGGTCCCTTTCAGTTCCGGTGTTCTGATGTTCTAGGCTGAATTAAAAATGATAATATTTGGCTAAAGCATAACCTTCCAACAAGTCGGAGAGCATTTTCATTTTCGAGTCCCTACTTCAAACATCCGAGGCAAACATTCTAAATTCAGTTACACCCCTGGATGGCTTAGCAAACCTTCATGCACACATCCCTTTCCAATTTTCCAAGAAGAGCGGCCATTGTATGCCTCCACCCCTCATTACCATTCAAAGCCACACCGTTCTTCCAGACAGTATCTATACCCTTGTATCTAAGCCATTGAGAAGGAACGGGCAATTAATTTGATGAAGGCAAAGAGATCAAAACAACATCCCTGTCATAGTAACTGGGGGAAGATGAAAGTTGTCTTTTTTTTTTTTTTAAACATTTCAAATGACTTCAAACCCTGTGTTGCATCCTGGAAAGTCAGATCTAACAAACTAATACGTCAGTGATGTGAAATACTCATCCTCAGGCCTTGCTAAGCTGCAGTCTCTCTCCCTGTGATGGATGGGCCCAGTGCACGTCACTGTACATAAAGCATATGGGTGCGAGATGGATGGCTTGCTGGAGATGCTACTGCGAAGTTAGCAATCCATAAGGTTTTCTAAGTGGCCCCACCAGCCCAAGGCTATGGCTGCGCTGCTTGCTTCAATCCAGGCACGTGGGGTCATTGGTTCTATCCAGCTCACGCTCTCTGCCCCGAGAGGAGCCTTCTGCCCACCCACTCCTCAAAGCCTCACTGGCTTTCTTCTTAACCAGGAATCACTTTGGTAGATCCTGCTTCACCAAGGAGAGCTCAACCAAGACCAGCGCCCAAAGATTCCACGTACGGCTCTCAGGAGCTCCCACACACCAGGAAAAACGGACTCCTTTGAGTTCTGCCTGCTGTGGGCTCCAAGGAAAGCGCGTGGGAACTGGCCTTAGGGCTCTAGCTGGCTCCAGGCTGTTTAGTCCCCACTCCCCTCATCTCTGCTGAGCACTAATCCTAGGACAAGCTACGCAAAGGGTTTCATCAATGCCACCTGTGGTACCCAAGATTAAATAGCACTGAATTACTTATGAGTGAGAAGGTTATTCTCTTATCAAATTCATTTCAATCTCTCTGATTTGCCTAAAGGGAGAAGCCTGACTTTGTTGCTAGAATGTCTTTAAAAACCTTTCTAATGCCCGCTTATCACACTTTGCTAAGAAAAAGCATGTTTCAGGTTCATAGCCATGGGCAAGCAACAGTATTCAGCCAGAATGTAATCCTTTCTAATTCTTTATGGAAGCTTTTTAACTTTCAGAACTAGTCTCCCTACGTATTTACTCTAAGTGATGCAGGTCTCCATTTTCAAGTTATTTTGCTTGTTTTGTAGCCATGTTTTTTAAGGTTAAAAAGTGAATTGATTTAGAGAGGAAAATAATTAAGTAAATAATTGTGCAGGTGGTGTGTGGGGAGCTTCACAAAAACCATGAAGGTAGTGAACGAATGACTGCATTTTGGGAAGCAGTGTCCTAAGGAATCAGCTCCCTTTCCTCCCTCCTCCTTCCCTCACCTTGTTCTCTGCTCCTTCAGCCATACCTCCCTGTACTTTCTCTTCACATTTACTCTAAGAATCACAGAGCCTTTCTGGAAGGCTTTGACTCCATGACAGATCATGCATTTGTCTTCTGGCTGTAGCTCCCAGGAGAAAATCTGCTTGGTTTAAGTTGTAAAATGCCTCAAATATTTTAAGGGAAAAGAATAGGAAGTCTTTCTCAGAAAAAAAATTTCTTCTATTATCCAAGTATGTTCCTTTGGAAATGGAAATGAAGAGACAGCTGCAAACTCACCACTTTCAATGGGTGAGGAGAGAGATTGGCCATGGAAGATTTGAAAGGTGCTGGAAAGGAAAGAACAACAGAAGAGCTCTTGTTTGTTCAGGGGTCTACCTGGACAAGCTGTCTCTTCCTCTCATCCTTTGGTTTCACTTGAACTCATGGAGTTTAATTTTAATTTCCAAGACACCACCTTCCCCTACCCTTTTTATGAGTCCTCTCTCTCTCTCTCCCCATATGTATATTTGAACCACCTACAGATCTTTCCATCTTGATATCTCATGGGTACTTCAAATTCACCATATACCAAAACACACGCCTGATCTTCCTCCACAAAATTCTCTTCCTACATTTCTTTTCTTGTTCAACACCATTAACCATGACTCCATGAAGAAATTATAGTCCTCATTGCCTCACTCTGCTCCTTCACAACACACATCAAACTGGATTCTACTTTCTTTAGCCAGCCCCTTAGCCTCATCCCCTCTGTCTCTGGTCCATGAAGACCTTTATCATTGGTCACTTCAACACTAACTGGTCTTTTCTGCCACAGGTCCCTTTTGCCCCGTCCTAAGTAATCCTCCACACAGGGTTCTAAATTACCTGAAAAGTAGAATCTGATCATGTCACTCTCCTGCTAAACAATTTCGTCTTGGTTCCTATTGTTTCCTTTAGCTAATTTTTCAAGTCCTTTGAATGTGATACTAAGCCTCTTACCTGCTGGGTCTCGTATTTCCCCCCGGCCACTGGGAACTACTCAGCTGGCTTCAAATACTGTGTGTTCCATCATGCGTAAGTTTCCTCATTTCCTGGAATGCCTTTTATGTCCCGCTTTGTCTGGAAATTTCCTAGTCTTGCAGCTTAAAAGCCAGTTCCTCTGGATAACCTTACACTCCTTCCCAAGAAGGACCCCCTTGGCACGCACGTTCCTCTGCTGGACCATTTATCCTACTGCATTGTAACGCAGTGTTTATGAATTTCTTTGTTCAGCAAATGGCTAGTATCCCAAAGTCGTGGGCCAGTGTCTAATACATAGTTAGTGCTCGACAGAATCTCGTCAAAGAAGGGAATGGCTATACTGACTAGGGGAAGAATGAAAAGCTTGAGACAGCTATTTAGATGGCCCAAAAGTCAAGTCATGTTACTACTTGTGTGTGTCCCTACCCTTAGGTGGGGAAACGGAAAGGCCTTGATTAATCAAATGTTCTTATTAAGGAAGGTAGGCTTCTGTGCAGCAGGTCCACAGCAGATCTTTTGGAACTGAATCAAACAGCGACTGAATGTAGCACATGGATTCTCAATTTTCAAATACCTGGGATACGACAAGATGGAACCTAATCAAATCTTCCTTTGATGACTCAGAGAGCTTGTTGCAATTTCACAGGACATTGGGATCCTTGTTCACCACGGCCATCCAACCTCCTTGCCCAGTACTGCTG